TGAATCTACTTGCAGTATATGATCATATTACTATATAGGGAGTACTCATTGGCGGCCATAGCTGTGTGCGCGACTGCTGAGCACGTGTGTACGGCGAGCTTCCACAGTTCTTCTGCAACGTGCACTCCACACCATCAAGACTGCCGTTCTTTGCAGCCCTTTGATGTGAGCTCGTTCTGAGCGTTCTGAGCATGCGCTCTAAACATCGCCCTCAAATATAACGTACCTTATAAAGGCACCTAGTCGATAAATTAAAAAAAGAATACTCCGACTGAAGACAAAAAAAAAGTGAAAATAAACTACAAATATGTTTGGATCAGTGGAAATATAATGGAACTATGATACTCAAAAGACAAATAATGGGAGAGATATGCGCAGAATTTCTGAAATTTACATCGGAACTTCTGAAGAAAGAATCCCCCCCCCCCCCCCCCCCCAAAAAAAAAAAAAAGAAGCAAAGAGGAAATATTACTTGAAGAAATGTAAAGACTTCAAGGGTAGTTTCAAAGCAAATTGGCAGCTTCTTCGACTATTAACATATCGGACGGCTAAATTGTTAAGAACATTGCAGAAGCCACGGACGTTCGAGAACTTGGAAACTATTTTAACCGTATATTTGTTAGCACTGTGCAGGAATTGAGAAACGAAATAAATAAATACAATGCGACTACGGGAGAGACCATAACTAATTTGAATTCAGCATACTTACCATTGATGTCGAAGCGGGACCCAAAGGAAATTACCTCTAATATGTCTTTGGTGAAACCAGCCTGACATGATCAGATGCGAGTGCGAGATCTGTATTGCAATTTTGACGAATCGAAAGCTGTGTTACTTAGCATTTTCAAAAGCATTTTTTTAAAGCGGGATAATCCCAGACGGTGTGAAATTGTTGCTACTGAAAGGGTATAAAACACTATTGCTGTTTTTTTTTTTTTTTCTTAACGCGAGGCTCCTAATTGTTTTAAACCCCGAATTTCCACCCATTTACGAAGATATGGATTATCCGCACATGTGCTTGCGCTTTACGTGAAAGTATGACCAAAGATCACGCGCTCCAAAGAGCCAGGAGGGATCGCGTGCACTTTCTCGGCCACTCCCGCCACTGAATAGTTAAAAGGGTTGTCGTTATCCGACAGCCAATGCCAACGCCATCAGCGCGTTTAAACCCATACCACAAGTTCCACTCATACTAATTATACCCGTAAAATACTGCACGCATTTAACGGGTGTTCTACACGCCATACACCTATTACATTGCATTCATACGTAGCACACTAAACGTAGTATGTCGGGTTTGAGTTCAGACCAAGGAAACATCAACTCCACACCAGAAGAACGTCAGCCCTGAGGAAGGCATTCTAACTTAAATGTAAAAGGCTTCAAAGTGTGATCGTTGTTATACATTACGTTTTTCTCTAGTCACTGACAAGTTAAGAATCGCAGGGTGTGGCAAGTCTCAAGTATTTCATTATCGCTGCTCAGCTAATCAGATGGCACCATTAGCTGATAAAAGCGCCTCGGAACTAATTAGAAAAAAATAGATGTGAAAAAAATAGTCCGCTCCCCGCGTTTCTTCTGTCGGTGACTTATCCACACATCTCACCTTTTGCACTTTCCGGGTTCTCAGTATCACGCGAGAAAGAAGGGATTTAGAATAGGAATTTCTATCTTTAACTCCACCAACTTGCTCGTCGGTCTTCCTAATGAACCAAGAAGCAGGGGGATTTCTAGACGGGATTTGTGGCTTAAAGCTCTCCATCTGTGAAACGGAAAAGGATCAAGGGACTTAGCAATGGAGCTGTCGGCCCCAGATTTCCGCCACCATGGCAACACCAATGAACATGCGACTCGTGTGCCTTGCCTCCTTTTCGGCGTGTTAGTGACATAGGCAGAAGCTCGAGTTCCGAAAGGTCTGGCGAACGCTCCTTGTTGACTTTGCCGTCGTGATGAAGTTGGCTGCTGACGGAACTCCTCTGAGAAAAGGTGAGTCGTTCAACGGTCAGTGCTAATGTTTTTCTTGAACGTAAAGCATCGTGACTGAAAGTTACGGATATAAATAGGGAATAGCTAGACTGTGACGCTTTAATCATACGTACAAAATCAACTTGACTAACGGCAGATGTCCTGTTAGTAAAGGACTTTTGGAAAGGAGCACCCCACTTAATAAAAGGTTTACGTTCATAGAACATATGAAAGCCTTTAACCCACGATGTCTCAAAAATCTAAACAACTGCTGGTGGTTAAACATTTTTTCCTTTTTGTCTGAAGCACATTTTTATATCTGGCGAAAAAAGGTTAAGAGAATAAGCCAAGTTGTTGTTATCATTGTTATCTTGTAAGAAAGAATCATCTCTTATCAGTAGCTCACGAAGCTATTTAAATTTATTCATAAAAATTGAGTTTTACATTAACAACAAGGGTTTAGCTAGACATTAGCTGATTTTTGCATTCTTAAAAAATATCTTTTTCTGAAACGCGACTGCGTGTCAAATGTTTTCTAGAAACACAGTTGGGCAGAAAGACATGTGTATTTCTGTGCAGAGAACAAATTTGTAAATATTTTATCGCGTGAACTGCACCTTTCAAACACTACCAAGGTTTGGTCACGCCCAGTTACGACCTTGCTAGAGTTGTGCTGAAGACAGCGGCTGCAATTTTATGCAATTACAGAAAACAAATTGTTAACGTAAATTAAATGAAAAAAACTCAGTTTCTTTTTTGTTTCTTGTGCTTTAGAGCTACTGAGATTATTCAAATAACATTTGTGTTGACTTTTAAAGATGGTATTGTATGAAAACCATGCTATAAAGTCCACTCACACACGTATATGTAAAATAATCTAAATATTATTATTATAATCTTTTTATCTCAGTATAAGTAGCTAAGCACACTACCGACACTTCGAATGGTGTTACGAAAATTTCTGCAAAGAGAATTGAATAGCTCATATTAGGCACGTATCCAGGGGAAAGGGGGGTGGCTCCCCCCCCCCCCCAAAAAAAAAAATCTTCTGTTTTGCTGGGGCCTTTTCTCCCCCCTCAGCCTCATAAAGCCTTTTGTCATGGGCGCCCCCCCCCCCCCCCCCCCCTCCCGAAACCACATCCTGGCTACGTGCCTAGCTGATATTCACTGCCCGATGGCGTAATGATATCGACTATATGTTCCGTTCTTTTCGTGTATTTGCGAACAGTGAAACAGTGGTTGACAAAATCTGGGCAAGGAATCTGCGATCGAACGACAGCTTTCACACTCTGGCTCCACGAACCATGTGACCCGTCAAACTTGGCCTTCACCAGAATTATTTTTGGTATGACAAACGTTTGTCACCTTTGACATGGGTATAACCATTGTACCAGCGGTGACTTCACTGAGCTAAGTTCTCAACCACGACACGGTGTTGTTGAAAACTTTTTGGTCTTAACTGCAGGTGCGATTATGATCCTAGACCAGCCGGAAGAACGAGGACTGGCGTTCATCGACGAGCGCTGGGGAGATCCGAAGGAATGTCGCTTTCCCCTGTTCAATTTTCTAAAGCCGCTTCCTCTGCATGGGATGTACTTTATCCACATTGTCATGCTTGCTGGTAAGGTTTGTGTTCGGAGCACATTAACCCCTGCCTAAAAATTATCATGTGTGGCCAGGTTTAGCAATATTCGACCTTTAGGATAGTTGGTGATGCATCTCCAATAAAAACGGCGCCAAAAACGCGAAGCACAAATCAAAGAAACTGGACAGGCCAAGTGCATTCACTAATATTCGAACATTCACATAGTACGCAATTTATGTTGAACATACCACTGGTGGGCCTCAGCTTCCCCTGAACTGTTTACTAGAAATATCTAAATTGCTAAAAAAAATGCCGCCCCCCCCCCCCTCTTTTTTGGTCTGATGCCAGTAGCCAAAGCGCACTTCACCGCTTTGCACTAGGGTGCTTGGAGAAGAGCACCTCGGTTAGCTATAGGTGTGTTCAGAAATCTGAGTTAGCTCCGCTGCATGTACTTCGCATATTTTTATGAACGTTTCATAAGTAGTGGGTCAGCGCATATCGTGACATGGGTGCATGCTCGGTGTTTGAGCGCTCGGTATATCAGCTGTTTTCAATACCATGCCCGTCAGTCATAAGATATGTGATCAAAAAGCCTTAAGAAACCATATGAAGGAATGCAGGTATAATTGGTCTTTGTACTGCTGACGCTCGTTGCGGCCTGCTTCTATGAGTGCCATTTATCAACGAATTTCACTGTTTGGAGTGGCGCCAAAACAAGATATACTGGATATGTAGAGGGCGGGTGATTTTTAAGCTGCATTATAGCAGCTTTTTCTTGACTCCATACCCCCTTGTGTACCCTGGGAGTAAAATAAATTAAATTTAATAGAACGGAATTGAACCTCATCAGCCGAATACCTCCGTAACTCGTACAGAGTGAGCCACAACATAATACATGTCCCGCGACCAGTGTTGGGAAGTACTTTAAGCACATTGTACTTCAAGTGCTGCATCTCCGATTACCCTCGGGGCAATGACTACAAGTTAAAAAAATCACTGTATAGAAAATGAACGGTCATCATGAAAGACTGTGTTAAAAATTACTTGTTCTTTACTTTGAAACGATATTCTTTTTATATTACTGCTGTGCACTTGTGCTTATAATACCCGGTGTACTTACTACTTTACTTGAAGTACGTCACCTCTCATTTACTTTGTACTTTACTTAAAGTACTTTTTACATGTACTTTACCCAACACTGCCCGTGACAGTCCGGTTAGGAGACGTTTCACTCTAAATACCTATTAACGTTGATTGATTATGAAAGGACTGAACGCCATCTAATGTTCATTTCACCGAATGCTGTAAAAAATTAACGCCAAAAACCAGCGACCTAATGCACTGTCTTATTCGTCAAAGCATACAATAATAGGGCGAAGTAATGAGTTGACTCTGTTTGCTTTCAAGGGCGGCCAGACCCGTGATTCGATATTTAACCCCGCAGCTAATTATGGCACTGAAAGAAACACTTTTCTCGACAGGAGCCTTTGGCATGACAACAGGGACCTTTTTCAAGCAGAGCTGCATGGCATTCGTACTTCCCTACTGGTACATATTCCTGCTTGAGAAGTCCAGATGGAACAACCACAGCTACCTGTACGGTCTCATCACAACCCTGCTCAGTACGACCGGTGCCCATAGACTCTGGTAGGATGGGATATATGTGCTTTTAAAAACAAAACAAAAAAACAAGCACTCTTTTTTTTATTTCTTGTAGTAAACGTTTGTTTTGGAACTATTGTCGCGAGTGGCTTCACCTTGAGGAAGACATGCAGAAACAGGTAGTGCCTCTACACACACGCACACACAAATCTAAACTAAAGTAGCACAAAAGCGCCAGTTCGAAAAAGTAACTTCGAGGCTCAGATAGCTATTCTTAATAGAACGACAGGTAAAAGCGAAGGCTATGCTGCTTTAAAGGTACAACTGGCAATCGGTAATTCTGTTTTATCTTAGGATGGACCGCTGCCGACGTTACAAGCCATCCCAGCCAATCCGGCGCTACGACACCTGTCACGTGACTACGCGCCCTGCATGTCGCTGCGCCCCTTCCGAAGGTTACGTGACGCTCACACGGCATTGGATTGGCTTCGATGGCTCGTAGTGTGCTGCGCGGTCCATCGTACGGCGGAAAAGAGTGTAGAACATGGTTTGGGCCTTCAGTGAAGTGTATATATCAAGTAACGTCAGGTAACGTGACATCAAACTCCCGCTATATTGAGCGGGCAAAGTGAATTGGTGTATAGGTAAAGTGACGGTCAAGTCACGTGGCATAAACTTCCTCGCCGAGTTTGGCGGGGAAACTTAATTGGTGTAGAAATCACGTGACGTGAAGTTACGTGACATCAATTGACATCACGTGACCTAAGCACCAATTCAGTTTTTCCGCTAAATTTAGCGGGAGATGCACGGACGGACACATTTTTGGGATTGGAGGTTCCGTTAAAAAGCACTTCGTGCATTAAAAAGACAAGATATTGACATTTGTTCCCTTTAACCAGACAAGGCGTCTTTTGCTCATTGTTTAAAAGGCTATTTCAGCTCCTTACGTCAGTTCAGAAACGATCTCACTTCGTTATGCAGGGTACCAGAATGCTGCTGTCATTATTGTTTGTACTAAAATTCTCAAAATAGATACGAACTCTTAGTTTTCGTTTGTATACGTTCGCACGGTGTGCCCTCAAAAAGCGATGAGCTTACGTAAAACATAGGTGCCACCTGACGTATTGCAGGTCGGTTGACTCTTGGAGGAGTAGGTTCTTGAACAACACTGACGTGCCTCGCTGGAATTACATCCTAATACGCGCACAGGTAAGAGAAGACTGCCGTGGTACTTCCTCATTCGAACTGACATTAGGTCATTAGCAAACGTGCCTTCACCAAGCAATTCCGGTAATTTTTTTTTTCTTGCGTTTACAGATTTTTTGTGTGTACTTCATTGCCGGACTGAAGAAAATGGACAAGGACTGGATCGGAGGCCACTCAATGCGGGGTCTTTCCAAACACTGGGTTTTCGACGGGTTCAAGTATGCGCTCGAGATTTTAAAATATTTCGCGGTGTTTCGACGAGTTACGCCGCCGCGGATATTAGCGTATCTTTCGGACGATAGACCGCGGACTACAGACGTTTAAAAGTTGGAATTTCATGCGGCGTGGACTAGGGGCGGATTTCTGGTTCAAGCTTTGAGGGGACTAAATTACAAATTTTGATTTGGTTTGAGGGGGCGGTGAGCATTTGGCTGGGAAGGGAGGGGGGGGGGGGGGAGGGGGGGGGGAGAAGGGGGGGAGGGGGGCAGGGGGGAGGGAGGTATATGCAGATGAATCAGAGATGGCAGTAATGGCATTACTGTAATGAAATTACTTTTTGTGGTAATGAGTAATGTGCATCACTTCTCTAGGCTGGCAATTTTGTAATGTATGAATTACTTTCAGACAGTAATTTCAAGAAAATCATACATTACTTTTTCAATAACTTGTGTACCAAATCAGAATGTTCGTTTGCGAGCTTTAAAAAAAAGAGCAAAATTATTTTGCACGGTGAAATGTGAAAAAGACATCAGAGCAAATAAACGACAACTATCTGAGCGCAAAGCCTCGTACGAAGAACTCGACAGACGCACAAAGGCGGATTGAAAAGGCGAAGGAGAAAGGCATACGTGTAAAGACATCGCTGGAAGGCCACAGCTCAAGAACTCGAGGAAAGACAGATTCACCGCGTCACGTCATCACGACGATACGATACTTCTTTTACCCCTAAGCTGACAGTGCGGTGCGAGCAGCAAGCTAACCACGACCAATCAAACACCTTCCTTTAATCATCCGACCCGTCCATTTTTTCTGCGCGTGGGTATGAACGAGAGCGTGATTAAGTGTCGAAAGATAGACGTATGACTGTTCACCCGATCACGTAGCTTCCACCGCACTGTCAGCTAAGGGATGAACGGCTCGTAGGCTACAAGGCGGAGGGCACATCACCAGTGAGGTCAACATATTTTTAAACTAAGCCTTCTTGCTCTTTCCTCAAGCAAGGATAAACTGTAAGCTTCGACCATTGTGAACAACGAAAGATAGGAATGAATAGTTAATCCCAAATGCCTTGTCAAGGTCCCAGAACGTTTCGCGCGTGTCGTTGGCCTCAAGTACAGGTGCTTTTTGAAGTCGGAAAAGATGGGAATCGAACGAAGAAGCCTTCGCTCGCGGTGTGCCTCGTTGTCTTTCCTTGGGAAATTTATTCTGGAATAAGCCTACGAGCAGATATCGCCGCACGTTTGTTGGGAAAGTACACATCTTTAGAAACTCGCGCCAATCCTTTCCTCAACTGGCGACGCTTCTGCCTAGCAAATATCCAGCCCCCTTGTGTGACAACGCGCAATAACATGAGCTCTTCGGGGGTTTAGGATCAACACTTCTTGAGAGGGATGACCGGGGTTCTTGGGAAAATAGAATTAGATTGCGTACGAGGCGAAAGGAAACCGTTTCACGTGACGACTCCTTGTAAGAACGAGCTTCCATGGCCCGACTTTAACATACTGAGACGGACTATAACTTGTTCTAAATTAAAGAATAAACGGAAACATATTCTCCATTAAGTGAATAGAGAAACTGGTGAGTCGACTGTCTTTGAGTCACACCTAAAAGGGAAGCTATTCATCCTGTTTAAACACAGCCTCCTCTATCTTGACAAAGCCTGGCAGATTGCGCCACGAGATGCGGCCGCCGGAAGTGAAAAGGCAGACAACGGATGCGATGAGAGTCATGTAACGGGCGCCCCGCTGCGGCGAGACGCCGAAATACACTTGTCCCGAGCGATAGAATGTCCGCTCGTGCTCCTCGCGTTCCTCGCATTACCGCTTCTTTTCTTGTCGGGTTTGAAAACCATGTTTCGGGTCCTCGCCGCTGCAAAAGCTGTGGGCTGACTACAGGCTCCCCGAGAAATGTTCTGTGCTACCAGATCCTCGAATTCCAAATCTGCGACCGGGCGCTCTAAGGCTCCGTCGTCGAACTGCCAGGCTTTGTGAGTATAGAGGAGGCTATGGTTTAAAAACTTATGTCGTGTGCGCCTGCAACGCAACTGTTCAGTATGGTTCACTATGAGGCGCATAAGGCTGTTGCGGTGTAAACAGGAAGATCTGACTTTTGGTACATATAGAGTAAATAAAATGAGCACAAATTACTGCCTCAATGTATCGAAAATTAATGTCAAAGTGGAACAAGAGGGACAAAGCACAAACACAAATCTCCAAACACAGCTAGGTTACATGTGCGCGACCAAAACAATCCGCCTGGCCCGGGTATCGAACCCGGGACCTCTCCGATACCCGGACCAGGCGGATTTTTTCGGTCGCGCACCAGTCACCTAGCTGTGTTTGGAGATTTGTGTTTGTCCTTTGTCCCCCTTGCTCCCCTTCTCCAGAGATTATTTTCATCATTAATGTCCAGCTTGCTTGCATCTTTGCATTTAATTGCATTATAGTCCAAGTGAATTCATTCCTTTTGAAAAGTAATTGTTATGTTTAGTCTTTGTCTGTGGTAATTTGTAATGTAATTTAATTACATTTTTGCAGTTGTTTGAAAAGTACTTAGTAATGTAATTTAATTCCTTCTTCAAAGTAATTTTGCCATCTCCGAGATGGATATGACGTCTCTGCGGATGTATGTGACGGCACGAGTGAAGACTTGCCCAGATCACTTTTGGTTTGCTGCTTCCAAAGCACAATCTCTTCTAATCACGAACGCGGTTTAGGTGTTATACCGCGTATATCTAACAACTTTAGAAAACCACCTTGTTTTCTCGTGTTATTTCGTTCCCTTGTATGAAGCCGCCTTGAGTTTGTCTCAGTCGTGTGGAACTCCTTGGGTGTAACGAAATCGTCTAGTATTGAGTACATCCAAAGAAAATATTTAAGTGTGTTTTATGATCGTTATTTACAACCCAGTGCATGGCATGACTATAATAAAATTTGTAATCTGATTGCCTTAAAATCTTTGCGTACTAGACGGATGATTCGGGATCTTTTGCTATCGCACAAGGTTGTAAATGGTTGTCTAGGCTCGCCGACGCTACTGAACTGTGAATGTTTACGAGTTCCTCAGATGGGAGGCTGTGCTCACTTTTTATTTTATCATTTTTCTTTCTATAAAGCTGATCCCATGGCTCATTTGCAACGGGCGTTCAACAAATTTCAATCGAGTTCAAGTAATCTTGATATTGCATGTTTTCTTTCATCCTGGTATGAAGACCCTCGTTTTCAGCATTGGATGTGATATTTTTCAGTGCACCACTAAAAAGCCCTCGGGTCGTTTGTGCGGTAATGAAGATAAAGCAAATGAAAATACACTCTTAAAAATGTTGGAGTAGGCCTGCCGGTAGAATGCCAAAATCTGCCTGCCACCAGTGATCAAATGGCGAGGCTCACCTGGCAGTTCATGGTCATAGAATGTTATGTGGGCTGATACATTTTGTGCATTTCTCACATAATCGGTCCGCACACACGTATCCAACCCTTTGAGCCAAAATAATGTCTATGCCATTTTACCTTTCATATGTTGAGCTGTGATGAATGCGCTCAGTCAGTTGCTTCGAAGTCTCGTACGAATAGATGTAATACGGTTTCACCCTTTCAATCGGGCGGCGGCTTGTGACACCTAGCCTCACGCCAAACTCAAAGGAAAAAAAAAAAAAGATCTGGGAGTTCACTATCATTTAGGACACTATAGACGACGAACCACGGTCAGCCATACAAGGGTCCCAGCGAATGACCAGGTTCAGAATACGATTAGACCAACAAATGCGTTGTGTGCAGTGGCAATGAATACGACATTGTCTCTGATTTTTTTCAGTTCTGATATGAAAATACGAATAGACCTTTCATAATCCTTTCATGATTCTTTCTGGATCTAATCTGAGAATACGATTAGATATTTTCAGATCTAATTGTATTCTCAGCCTCGTCATTCGCCGACATCCTCCCGTTGTCTGTCTTAACTGGCTGTCTCTATGTATTGCAAAAAGAAGTAAACTCCCAAACTTTTTTGTATAGTACCTTTGCACTATGACACGACAACCCGTACAAGCGGAATTACACATATCGCATAAAATGGCGTCTGTTAAAAAAAAAATGTATATATCAGTATGCTCGCAAACATCAACCGATGGTTCTCGGAGAGGCGCATGTGTGGTCCTCTCGTGTGGGAAGAAACGACAATTCCCTTCACTTGGCTACCGTCACTGACAACATAAAGATGGCAGGGCGGGGCGTATCCTGAGCATCTCAATATCGGTTCCCAGCCAATCAGGTTGCAGCACTGGTCGATAAGAAGGAAAAGGAACCAATCACGAAGCAATGAACGTGAACACAATGAACTCACCCCTGCGTTTCTTAACGTGTCGGGGACTATAGTTCGACGTATAAATGTTGGAGTTGCTCTTCATTTAATCACAGAACCACACTTTTCTCAGGAAAATGTCAGTTGTTTTCTGCTGCAAAACCTCGAAGGGCATAGCCACACAACGATGGTAACGTGTAGAGTTTCGTACTAAGCATCCCCGACTCTCTTGGACATCAACGCCTCGGTACATGCACTAAAACGAGAATTTCAACTGAACAACAACAAACATCGCAATGTGCCTCGGGAATATTTTAGATAATAGTCAGAAGATATCAATAAGCATCAATTAAGCTTTTGTACGCGCATACAGTTTTTATTTCACGGCTCTACAGATCTATTTTTGTAATATTGAATTATATATGGGTTACATTCATATAATTGCCAATTTCTGCTTTTCTTTATAAAAAATATTTTTGGATTGTTATTGCCTGGATATCATAGAGCACAAATAAATTTACTCGAGAGAAAAAATTTTTATTCCACGGAATGTTTTAGAAAGTTTGGACATGGGCCATTTCTGCGCGGCTCTGTCCAGGTTAATTCTGTCGGAGGAGCAGATCGACTTCTACGTCGTCCACTGGGGCGGATTCCTCCTCGACCTGACAGTCGGCTTCGTCATGGCCACCGCCACAATCCGACCGGTCGGGGCCCTCTTCTGCATACTCTTCAACGCCATGAACTCGAGGATGTTCACCATTGGTACGTGCCTTTGAGATCCCGCCAAACTTTATGCACGTGATACACGACCGTACGCCAGTACGATGCTCATCCAGATCAAAACTGGCAGGGTGGGGATTGAGCCCAGGATCCCTGGGTTCTGCAGCGCGAACTTTCGCTCCACGTGCTCCGAGGTGGTGTGCGCTAGCCCACTCAGCCACCGATCCCCCTTCGATGCATCCTTGGCCGGCAATTTAGACAGGCATATACCACTCGACATTATTCGCTATTCGATAATTTCAAAATATTTTCTGAATATAGACGTTAGTACAAATATGACACTTGTTAGGAGTCATCAGGAACCATGGAATCGACAACTAACAAAACACTTTGGAGCACATTGCGGCCGGTTTAGATGCTGCTGACACATAAAGAAAAACCGCCAGATGCCTCATCATCGTCCGTTTTTCTTTTGTAATGTAGTAAAACGAAAGCTTATGGGGGGAGTGCTTCATGATTTGATAAATATTCGCCTTCGTGCCTTAGGTAGGTACTGAAGACAATCACTGTCGATGAAACAGTGATGGTGGATGAAACTGACGAATTAACAGAGCGATAAAAAAAGTAAAATCCAGAACCATCGTGTTTTTTTAAGTGCGGAAGAGTTGGCGATAATTAAATCAGTTTAATAAATATACAAATTAAAGTAGCTTGGGCAATAATTAGCAATAGATTGAATTAATTTTGCTGTATCTCATATAGTAATTTATTTAATTGCCTTAGGATGGAAATTTGAACTAACTTGCTTTTTACTTTCGTTTTTTTTTGTTTTTTTTTGCTTTAGTTTTTGAGCATATTTCTGTCCATGTGCACTGGCAAGCGCATAACACCCCTACACTATTTTGGGCACCTACAAACGAAGAAGCCGTTTGTTCTTAGAAAAAAGAAACTGTTTGGACAAAATTAGAAGGGAATAGAATAATAATATGGCAAAGGAAGCGACGCAAAGTGATGCATAAAGGGACACATCTTGAAGAACAGAAAGCGCTAGGTCGTTGACCGCGAAGCGTACAACAGCTAGAGTACGAGCGCATTTAAACATAAAATGCTATTGCTAAAAAATAAAAAAAAAAATAATAAAAAAAACAATAAGCTAGATTATGAAATTGGCCAAAAGGCAAAGATTCAGTGAACCAAACATTTTAAGGGGTGAGGTGAAAAACGTGATCTTTGTTCCCCGAAACAGATATGAAGCTTTCATGTGAAGGGCCCTGGCGTCATCCTTTTATAATCTTCTTTTTCTAGGAATTCATGCACGGTCAAAGCACTCACTATGATAGCGTAGCCATAAAGGTACTCATTGCAGCCACCGTTCTATCTCGACCCTGGGCTATAGCAGGAATTACCGAGGTTTTTCAAAATGGGGTCACGGACAAAGAGCAAGGTTATTTCCCTATGTGAGCCCTACTCGCAGACAACCTTCTTGGGCGTTTCACGAGAAGTTAAAGGTGCACTAAAGAGGTTTATGAGATCGCCTGTTCTTGGTGATCTTACGGGCTCGAAGCATCCTAGAAATCCAAAAATTATGCTGGTGCGACGTCTCTTTCCCTACCAAAAATATGATTGAAGTTCGTGCCACGCCCCTTTTTGAAAGGCGGCTTGCGATTGGCTGACGCGCACCCGTCGTCACGCCGCCGGTGCCTCCGCTGCATTCTGTGCTCCATATTTTTCCGCTCAGAAAGGGGCGCGGCACGACTTCGATCACATTTTTAGTAGTGAAATATACGTCGCACAGGCATAATTTTTCGATTTCTGGGATGCTAAAATCCCGTAGAATGAGTTATCACCAAGAACAGACGATCTCAGATACGTCTTTAGTGCACCTTTAAGAGTGCGCGTGCACAGCTGTAATGGGCGCACAAAATGCGCAAGCGCACGTAAGACCAGCTGCTACTTTTTCTTTCTTTTTTTTAACGTGTAAAATGGGGAGGTAAAAACGAAGCAGCAAGTTTTTCTGCGCTATCCGTAGCCACCAGACAGCCTACAAATATGTATACAATAACCGTCATGTAAAAATAAATATATTATCTGAATTCATGAGCAGATATCGCTCAAAGGAATCATCCCCAAAAAAGAATACCAGAGTCTACACTTTTAACCCTGGAAAGTGGGTAACGGAAGGACAGAACAGCACGTACCTCAAAATTTTGAGATTCATGTCATCCTGTACTTCTGTTCTTCCCTTACCAGAGTTAAAAATGTAAGTTCTTAACCAGCTCGCATGCAGTCCTCGTCTCTAAAAAACGGAGTCACCCCCCTTTCTTTGCAGTCAGCTTCTCGAAGCCCTTGGAGCTTGGTGTTGTAAACTCCAATCAGCGAGTTGTGTAGATAAACTGTCCAAAAATGTCTAGAAAGGAAGTAATTATTACCCCTTTTTGCTCAAGAAGATAAAATTAACTTTAACGTACTGTCATTAATTTTTAGACGTAATTCATATAATTACTCTTTCGCTAAGATAACTTGTAATGCAATTTGATTCTATGTAGACATATCAAACAAATTAATTAGCAATATTGTAGAATTGAAAAATAAAAGTGATTTGAACACCTCTGAGAGCGGCAATGCCATCCCTCATTCATAAAATCAAGAACGTGATAACTACGTCTTGAATCACGAAAATATTCCCTGGAGAAGGGGAACAACAGGGACAAAGGACAAACAAATCTCCAAACACAGCTACGTGACTGGTGCGAGACCGAAAAAATCCGCCTGGCCCGGGTATCGAACCCGGGACCTCTTCATTACAGGTGCAGCGCTCTACCAACTGAGCTAACCAGGGGTTAGACGTCAGTAGAGCAAACGGGTTTTATTAGCCGCCACCAGTCTAACACCAACAAGGGTGAAGCTTGCAATTTAAGGTTATAATTATAATGCAATTATAATTATAACCTAAAATTGCAAATTTATAACCTATAACTGCATGCCCCGCCATATCATTGACTCATATGTATAATATTACGTCCCCGTCATCACCTAATTCATACATTCATACCCCCACCCCCCTCCTCGTCCTGAACTTTTAACCTGTCACCACTTATCTCCACTTTGTCTCCACTTTACTCGTCGAACGCGTTCGAATGCGAGGGCTAAACGTCGGACGCCGGTGTTCCGCGTTTTAGCGCGATCGACGAGTTAGGGGCGCCGGGAACGGGGGGACAAGGGGGGCCAGAGCCTGCGCCCTCCCTCCCCCCCCCCCCCCCCCCCCCATAAGAATGCTTGGAAGACAGACGCCAGGCGCTCGTCACGTCAAGCCAAGCGCCAGGCACTCGTCACACGACGTAGTGAAAGGAAAAGAGGAGCCCGCGAGGATATAGTAAACAAAACACAAATAGTAATGTCTGCAAACAATTTTTGTTTACATGAACAATGAAAAAAAGACAGAAAGGAACTTCGTTTCAGCACCCCCCCCCCCCCCCCCCAAACACACACACACACACGACATATACTTCCGGCGTTACTGGACACAAAGGTCTACCCACTAATCATACGAATCGATGCTCGGCGTTCTGACGTCCGCACTCACTCTCGTCTCCTCCTCTCCCTCAGTTTTTCGGCGCGTAGCCTGGCTTATTTCGAGATCCGATAGCACAAAAACGCAGTTCCTACCCTACCGAGCCGCTAAGCGGTGCGATAACGTTTCCTTCACTCTATTCCGCGCGGCGTAATGCCATTGGTCGCAAGCGCTATGACGTCAAACGAACAGCTGCGGCTGCGCTCCGTTGCCGAAACTCACTCCCATAGCTTGCTGGGGCGCAACCAACACCAACACGAGCAACCAAAGTCTTTGCAGTGCTCCCATGTATATAACTTCAGAACAGGCATGGGCAGTATCGAAGATGCATGCATCTTCGATACTATCTTTCGATACATTTTGTGTATCGGTATTAGGTATCGCTAGCCAGAAATGAAAATAGAGACTTTTAGGGAACCGTTTTTGCGCATCCGATATGGTACGGAGGGGCCCTCCGGTACGAATTGCGCATGTACCAACGCAGAAGACTCGCATTTGCTCAGTTTCATACCGGAGGTCCCATCGTGCTGTGTCGGACGTGCAAAAACGGTTCCCTAAAACTCTTAAGTATCGGTGTATCGCTACCGAAAACATATTTCTAGTGCATACCATGTATTTTCACGATACTCGATACTCAAAGAAAGAAAGAAAAAAAAAAAGGATGCGCTGCACATCTTGAAGCTGCCGTGAGTCAGACTTTGGGCAAGCGGTGAGCGCAGGTTGCCCGCAGGTTCGACCACCTCTTGCAGATAAAACGTAGTGCAGACTGTTGCTGCTGTTCTTCGAACATATTTCAAGTTACGGTGGTTGTCAACAGAAATAGAAGACCTGCACCGTCATGCTCAGGAGCTTACAGAAGAAGCTGTTGCTGACTTTGTTAGCACGTCAGAGGTCGCACACGCGGTTTAATTGAATCATAAGCGCCGGCAGTGTCAAATGCACCAACTAACGCATTGTTCTCGTTTGGAGAAGCAAGCGCTGCAACAGGTCGTGACATCAATGTTCTCGCCAAATTTAGCGCGGACACTGAATCGGTCCATAAATCTTGTGATGTCAATTTTTCCACATAATTTAGCGGGGAACCGAATCGGTGCATAGGTCACGTTACGTAAATTTTCCCGCCAAATTTAGCGGGGAACTGAATTGGTGCGTAGGTCAAGTGACGTCAATAGACCGATCTCACCAGGAGTTGCACGACGCCACCGCTGCCGCGGTGCATTCTGGTACCTGTGGTTCTCCCCAGCTTTCTGGCCGCGTCAAGGCGCGTTGTACGCCCGGCGTTTGGGAATCTTCAGGTTAGCACGATTCTTTTAGTCGGCCGTTTACTCACGGTTTTTAAGGGGCGTCTTCACCCGTTCTGTGTCAAGGTGCTACAAAAACCGCACCAGGCGAAAAGGCATCGGATTTTATGTCTTCCCGAAAGAAAGCAGCCCACGAAAAGAGTGTCTAAAAAATGTAAAGAGAGCGGTAG